CCATTCAAAATGCTCGTCCCTTAGTGACGGTGTAACGCAATCATCGCGCGACAGGTACAGATAAACAGACGGTGATTATTATATTTAACAACGTTAAACATTTCTGTAAAATACAGAACGTTGTGCAGTCCGTATCCATGGTACGATTTCATGGATACAGTGGCAGCTGCTGTAGGGATGGTGGCTGCTCAGTGGCTAGGAAATGGAATCACATCCATGGATTTTTTAATCTTGTCTTTGCAGAACTTTGGGTGTTGCCCCTTCCTATGCATCCTTGGATTTTTTGTGGCGCCACGGTGGCTAGGAGATGTTAACTACCTCGCCTGGTGTGCAGGAGGTCGTGGGTTCAATCCCGACCCTGACGCCTGCTGTATATCTGGAGTTTGCGTGTCTCTCTCTCCCCGTGGCTGTGTGGATTTTTCTCCGGGTCCTCCGGTTTTTCTCTCCACACTTTGAAACATGTGTTTAGAGTAATTGGCTGCTATCTATTTCCACGTGATGATAAGCCATTTCATTAAGCTATCATTTGTGGCCAGGTCGTTTCTGAAAAAGAGCTATATAGCTCAGTGGGCCTTTCCTGGTCAAAAACTAAAGAGTTACAGTAATTTCTGCGGGTTCTCTGGTTTCCTCTCTAACAGACAAACTCTCCTGGCTGTATTGGAATTGGCCACACATGCCAGTGTAACAGGGCTCTCCGCACTTGGGAATTCCCTCCCGTCGTGGCTTTTCTGTACAACTGCACTCAATTCAATAAACGTATTCATTGTCACCTGTTATACCTTTAACGGCGCTATTTATTGCTGGCCGTTTGGCGTTTTTAGGCCTTTGTGATTGTGCTCGGCAAATATGAAACCAAGTATCGTGCTCTACACATCGACTTTTTTGTGCTGCATCCGGCAAACTGAGTACATAAAAAAATCTCAGTGATTTTCCTGCCGTTTACAACCTTGAGCCAGTGGTGGAAGTTCCCCATTCCTATGGTTGGGGCAAGTCTATCCGTGTGTAAGCTCACCACGTTCATTCACGTTTGGTGCCGCTCGCGGCTCTGCGCCTGCCCTCGCCTCCTGAGTCCAAGCCTGAGCAGTCGCGCTCAGGCAGCGCAGACTCCGCGTGCTGGCAGCTGCTGGAGAGTGCTGGCGCAGTCCGGTTGTGTTTCGCTTGTTGTATTTCCCCCGCAACTCTGATCAGCACGGTTGGCTACGTACCGTGCGAAAGGAGTTCGACGTACGTACGTACACACGTGCACACGTACACACTCACACACGTGCACACGTACACACACACACGTACACACGTACACACGTGCACACGTACACACACACGTGCACACGTACACACGTACACACACACGTACACACACACACGTACACACACGCACACACACACGTACACACGTGCACACGTACACACGTACACACGTGCACACGTACACACGTGCACACGTACACACGTACACACACACGTGCACACGTACACACTCACACACGTACACACACACACACGTACACACACGCACACACACACGTACACACGTGCACACGTACACACGTACACACGTGCACACGTACACACGACACGTACACACACGTGCACACGTACACACACACACGTGCACACGTACACACACACACACGTGCACACGTACACACACACACGTGCACACGTACACACACACGTGCACACGTACACACACACACGTACACACGTACACACACGTGCACACGTACACACACACACGTACACACACGTACACACACACACACACGTACACACACACACACGTACACACATACACACGTGCACACACACACACGTGCACACGTACACACACACACACACGTACACACACACACGTACACACACACACACGTACACACACATGTACACACACACACGTGCACACGTACACACGTGCACACACACACGTGCGCACGTACACACGTACACACACACGTGCACACGTACACACGTGCACACACACACGTGCGCACGTACACACGTACACACACACGTGCACACACGTACACACGTACACACATACACGTACACACACACACGTGCACACACACACACGTACACACGTACACACACGTACACACACACACGTACACACGTACACACGTACACACACACACACGTACACACGTACAGACACACACACGTACACACGTACACACACACACACGTACACACACACGTACACACACACGTACACACGTACACACGTACACACACACACACACACGTACACACACACACACACGTACACACACACACACGTACACACATACACACGTGCACACACACACACGTGCACACGTACACACACGTGCACACACACACGTACACACGTACACACACACGTACACACACGTACACACACGTACACACACACACACGTACACACACACACACGTGCACACACGTACACACGTACACACACACACGTACACACACACGTGCACACACACACACGTACACACGTACACACACACGTACACACACACACACGTACACACACACACACGTACACACGTACACACACACGTACACACACACGTACACACACACACACGTACACACGTACACACACACACACGTAAACACACGTACACACACACGTACACACACACGTACACACGTACACACACGTACACACGTACACACACACACACGCACACACACACGTACACACGTACACACCACGTGCACACGTATACACGTACACACGTACACACACACACGTACACACACACACGCACACACGTGCACACGTGCACACGTGCACACACGTACACACACGTACACGTACACACGTGCACACGTACACACACGTACACACGTACACACACGTGCACACGTACACACGTACACACACGTGCACACGTGCACACGTGCACACGTACACACACGTACACGTACACACACACGTACACACACACACGTACACACAGAGAGACGGCGGTCACATTCACTCGCCGCGATGGACGTGCGCCCCGCACCGGCGCAGGACGCCTCTCCTCGAGTTCGCCGCCAAAGCCTCCGGACGCGCCGCCAAGGCACCGCTGGCTTCTTCCCGTAGCGGCTCCGACGCTGGCGGTCGCTCGCAAGAACACCCGCCCCTCGTGCGTGCGGGCAGGGAGCACGTTTGTGCAGGGCGGTAGCGCGCCATGCGGCGGTACTGGCACAGTAAGGGGGCAACATCTGGTGGTGCATCTGCCAGTCATCTTAGTCATGGCACCTGCTGGATCTGTCCCGTGACCTCCCGTCAGCAGCGAGCCCTCGACACTACACGTGGCCTCAAAGTGCGCCTGGCCTGGCACACTTGCCGTGGTGATGTCGCCGTCGTTCAGTGGCGAACGGCGGATATTGGTACTCGCTCCTCTGGTGACATTGGAGGCAGGGCCTTTATAACAAAATCAGTGTTGCCTCCCCGCACTCATCAGCGAGCTGCGGATGCCCTGCTGAGGCTGCTACTTGCGGTGATGGCGCCATTGAGAATGGCGAAATCGGCACGAGATGCCTCTCTGTGCATGAGAGACTATTTCACGTGCAGGTTTTTTTCTAAACCTGCCTTCGCAGACCGTGTTTTGCGACGTGGTTCCACACGGCATGATGCCGACGGCACGATTCAAACAAAATTGGGTAAAAACAATATGATTTTATTGTTTGAGAAATTGAATCTGAAACTTTTGAATGTTACTTGCCTCAAGGGCATCACAACCCCTGGCTGTTGCCTGGTCTCTCCCGCTGCCACTCTGCTCTTTCAGCTCATGCAGCTGTGTAACCACCCTCCTCCTGCCTTCCTTCCGTCAAACGCAGCATCTCTTGCAGGCATCGCATCGTGAGCCCCTGCAAACCATGTCTACACTTTCCCTAACCTCTCATCCTGACTGCTGGGATTCCCTCTGCTACAGCCTCCACATAAATGTCACCTCTCACTCGAGGCGAATCCTGTCGGACCTGACCACATCACCTCACTCCTCCACTGGCTCCACTGGCTCCTGTCTGATGACAAATCGGCTACGAGGCTGCGCTGAGTCATCGATATCCTGTGTGTCTGCGTGTGTCTGCGTGTGTGCGCGTGTGTCTGCGTGTGCGCGTGTGTGTCTGCATGTGTCTGCGTGTGTCTGCGTGTGTGCGCGTGTGTCTGCGTGTGTCTGCGTGTGTCTGCGTGCGTGCGCGTGTGTCTGCGTGTGTCTGCGTGCGTGCGCGTGTGTGTCTGCGTGTGCGCGTGTGTGTCTGCGTGTGTCTGCGTGTGTCTGCGTGCGTGCGCGTGTGTCTGCGTGTGTGCGCGTGTGTCTGCGTGCGTGCGCGTGTGTCTGCGTGTGTGCGCGTGCCATCTCGGCCTACTCAACCTCCTCATGCTCTCCATGTCCTGTGTCCTGGTAACTAATGTCTTCTGTCAAATTCTCCTGTCTCCCCTCGCCTCGGTGGGATGTCTCCCCTTCTGTTGCGTTCGTCCCAGCGTTTGGAAGGCGCCCGACGGACTTTCCGCGCTGCTCACTGCCGTCCCTTGTTCATGTCACAACTGAAGACTTCCCCCCCGCCCACCCTCTCTCTTTCTGCTGGCAATGATTGATTGATTTTATTTTCACCATTGAACTTGGTTTGCTTTCATGTATAAATAAAGGGTCCCAGTGCATTTCATCGTTAGCACTGCCTCGTAACATTAAGCACACGCGTCAGTCGTCTGCAGTGGTGGCCTCAGGGCGGTGGTGTTGGTTGGGACACGGACCCCTGTGGGGACGTGGTGGGGGGAGCGGGGGGGTGGTAGATGGGGGGAAGATGGAGTGGAGGGGGGGGCTACGGATCTTCTACACTTATGGAAACTCACAGCCAGGGAATGCAGCGTGTCTGAGAGGACGCCCACCATGGAGATGGAGTCTGTAAACACGAGGGACACGGTATCGCTGTCATCGTGAAGATCATCAACAGGATGTGTTGTTGTTCTTGTTTCACGTGTGACCCCCGCGTCGTGCGTGCTCTGTGTGCTGCAGATGTCAAGGGCCCTCCGACGCACCACATGTCCTGCGGCCAGTCGCCGTACACGGAGCGAGGCGACTGGAGCCAGCGCTTCTGCATCCTCTCCGACAGCGAGATGCTCCTGCTGGAGCGGGAGGAGGTGGGTACGCTCGTGCCAGCGAGCCGCTCGATCCGCTCGACACCTGTCGCGGAGCGGCGAGACTCTCTCCCTGTTCGAGAACGCCCCCCCCTCCTCCCCCCCCCCGTGGAAGCGGATGTCCACGGAGCTACCTCTGAGATGCCCTTCTGCAAGTGGCCTCTGATCCACGCAGAGCTGGGGGGGGGGGGGGCGGCACTTTCCCACCCGCTCTACATATGAGAGTGACGCTCGCCTGGTGGCAATAAAACCGATTCATTCCCAGAGCTGGAATTTGGCCACGTTAAGTTCGGAAACCAAAATGAACGTCATGGATATTCGATCTGATTGGGGAGCTTTCACGTTTTCCCATCCTGCAAAGAGGCCGTGGTTACTTCGGTAGAATATCCATAACATCATCCTCCTCATCCGAGAAATGCTCATTTGCCCTTGGAATTTTAATGTTCAGTTGGCAGTGACCTGCATGACATTCCCGCACGAGTCACATGATTCCGTGTGTTATGGTTCCACCTTGCTCTCCTCGGGCTACCAGGAGTGATTCCACAGTTGGCGCCCTGCTGCTTCGTGCTGCCACTGTTTACTATCACATCGTCACTCACTCTGGCATGGTGCACGTGTGGTCAACGCAGACTTGATGCCTTTTCAAAAGGTATCTATTCGGTGCTTGAGCATCCTATTCTTATTTTTCAATATTTTGGATACTGGTGAAAAGGGTCCCCTAGATACCATCTAAGTTTTTCTCACGTTTCTGGGGGGTGGGAGGGTGGGGTGGGAGAGGCGATGGGAGGGAATTGCAAAGTGGAGCGGTGCGAGGGAAGAAGCAGAACGAGAGGGGCGGTGACCTGCGTTGCGGTGGTTGATTTGAGTGAGCGAATGAGTGGGTGAGTTGTTTTGGGGAGCGGTGGTGTTGCGGTGAGTGACCTGCGTATCGAATTCGGCGACCCGAGTTCGATTCCTGCTCACGGCCAGCACCGGTGACAATCCTGGGCCTCCCCTAGGTCAACTCAGCCTCAAATGAGTACCTGGTGCGGTAAGCAAACATCACCACTCGGAAGACAAAGGCGGCCGTGTTGGCCACCCGCCCCCTCGTGTGCACTGCCGACCTTCGTAGGTGCTCGCTAACAGCGCTTGCCCCATCAGTCTGATAAGCTGATACGGGGGATCTTTGTCTTTGTGTTGTCGTGACCTGCGGTGTGGTGAGTGAGCACAGGACAGGTGCGACGAAGAAGTCAGATTGGTAGACCCGAGTCCTCGCCGTGGGTGGACGAATCGACGTGTGATGTTCAATGCGGGCGGTGCGGCGTGAGACCGGATCCGACGCCGACTTTGTACTTTCCCAGAGCGTCCGATAATCCAGAGAATACGATGTTTATTTCTTGTTACTTCACACGACCCGTATGGAGTCCTGAGGCGCCGCGATGAGCGAACGAGGGGCAGCAGCAGCAGTGGTGCGAGATGTCGTGGTGCAGACAAAATGCACCGTACATAACCAGCCGTACTCATCGGAGGTGCGGGGGGAAGGACAATAAACTAAACACAAAAAGCAGTTCTAAAGAAATTAGTTTTCAATATGGATGAGTTTAAAGTGCATAGCTTCAGTGGCTTCCTAATATCGGAAGGAAGTGTGTTCCAGACGGCCGCAAAAGCACATCTCAAAGCTGTCTTTGTTCGATGGCTAGACAAAAGCCGTGAGTGACGAGGATGACCGGAGTTCGCATGATGGTTTATGCCCCTTGACGAGTCAGAGTTTGTGAGGTCTGAAAATGAGACATCCAGTTGAGCTGTGAATTGAGAGCGGCGATAAAATGGAAGATTTTTTTTACTCGTTAAACTTGATTAGCCATGAAAAGCCTCACCGAGTCTCATGACCCTTTTTCAGGAGGGTCCTGCCAATTTTCTTGCGGCAGTGGCTGATTATTGCCGAGTATGAACTAAAACTAACGACTAAGCAATTTATTTTATTTCACCAGGTAAGGCCCACTGAGCTATGTAGCTATTTTTCAGAAGTGACCTGGCCACAAATGATAGCTCAACGAAGTGGCTTATCAAGTGGACATTTCTATCAGCCAAATATTATTAAACGCATGTTGATTCTAAATGTGGAGGGAAAACCCAGAGGACCCAGAGAAAAATCTGCACGATCACGGGGAGAACACGCAAACTCCAAATATACAGCAGACGTCAGGGTTGGGATCGAACCCACGACATCTTGCATACCAGGTGATGTAGTTAACATCTCGCCACCATGGCGCCCCTCTAGGAATTGATTAATTTGCGGTGTCATTTTTCAAGTTTGGCGAATATGCACTCTGACGCCGGTACACAATGGCCTACTCTCGCGAATGACGTCACGGGATATTGAATGTCCGCTGGGAAGCGGAAGGCGTGTAGCATTTTACGGCAAATTTACCCGCAGTAATAACCGCGCTCGTCTCTGCAGGCATTCTTACATTGTGCGCCATGTTCAAGATAAGTCAGAGAGCCGTGTGACGCGATTAAGGGAAGGCACTTGGCAGTAGTTACCTTCTTTGGCATAGCACATTACATAATGTGCTGTGACAACACGCTCGTTGCTTAGCAACCAGCAATTACCCAGATGTTAACGTTGCCTTCCCGTATCTGGCGACAATGCCGTAATTATTCATCTTGCGGTAGCACAGAGGTGATCAATTAGAGTGTATTTAGTTAGAGTAATAATTAAAATCATTACGTTGGCCCGTTTGCCTCTATGCAGGGGAGCCTGTAATGTGCCACGCATTTACATCGCTTGCAGCGGTGAGCACTTACCACCGCACGTCCACCTGTATATGTTGACGCACGGTGCTGCTCTGTAGAGGTGAGCGTGTGTGTGTGTGCTCGTGCGAACATTCTACAACGTGTTGCTCGTGACTTGGGGCACTCATTGGATTGTAGGTAATGAGTTGGTTGACAAGAGGACGACAATGCAGTTCTTCGGGAATCATCGATGGTTTTCGCATAATGCACAAAGGTGGAGTGCTTTTAGTGCATGTTTCTGCGTGTCGCTCGAAACGTATGGTTTTGCGGCCTGCGCGATTTGTCGGTTGTGATGGTGGATTTTTCTCGTCATTTACAGATCTGAGGGACAAGTTGGGGCGATTGCAGCGCCGGCCAGCACCAGCGCTTGTCGTGACATTGGCGGCGTTTAGGATGGGGCGTGGGTTTTACTAAACAACGTCTTTACCGATCGCGCTGAAACGTTTAGAACTTTGAGCCTTTTCTCTATTCCACTTTGTGTGGAGAGGAGAGGAGCACTGCGCAACTCCAGCGTACTGGACAATCCCCCGCGTGGGCTGGGTACTCGGCACAGCGCGTGAGCAGTGCCAGGCTGGTGGCACGGGGTGCGTGCGGTCAGGGCGGTTACATCGCCAGCGCGACTTCACGCGGGGTTCGTGGAGAGACGTGATGAGAGAGCGTCATTCCTACTGGGAGCGAGCACGGGGCGAATGGTGGACGAGAGGGGAACAGACACGGACAGAGGCACCGAGAGACGGAGGGAGAGAGACGACCACCTTGGCCAGGGGACACGACAAGGAACTTGCCCTTTCTCTGCCTTCTGTTCCCGACTTGAGTTCAGTTCTTTACTCGGGTTCCGTTCCCCACTCGGGAGCCGCTCGATATTGGGTTTGTGTGTTCTCGGATTTACTCACCAAACTAAAAACAAACCCATACCCTGTAACTGCTTTTGGCAAAATCATCCCTAATGCATGAAAAAATACCTGCAATTCTCTCAATTGGAATTATATCCAGCAGCAGCAATATCGCTCCCCTACTGCAAAAAAACTTGGCAGGACCCTCCTGAGACTGAGTAATTATGTCCTGATAATAGCGAATAGTACCTTGATGATAATAGTACCTTGATGATAATAGTACCTTGCAAGTGCAGGCTACTGACCAACCCCAGCGTGGCATCTGCCGGTCGTGCCGGCTCCACGCAGCCCGGCCGGCGCGGCCACACGTCCCCGTCGTCGCGTGAATTGACATTCTCGTCACAGTAATTACAGACGGCTACTCGTTGCTTAATTCCTGAAGGGTCATCTGGGTTTCATGTCAATTATTGCAATGAATTAGCTTCGTGCATTTTCACAACACACAGAGATGTTAATTGCCTTTCTCAAAAACAATCTTTACAGGATTACAATCATTATTATTATTACAACGTGCGAGCATATTTCTCGAGCACACGCTCGTTACGCTCTCGTGCTGGCCGTTACACGCGATGCCCACCGTGACAGTAAACTAGGCCAGCGGGGGGGGGGGGGGTGAGAGACAGTGCCCCACGTGCCAGGAGCAATGAAGAGGGCACCAAGAAGTCACAGAAATGGAACGATTAAAGGGGCCACACAAACGGCAGAGAGATGCGCCACCGCGGGGGAATCGTGCGCCGAGCCGAGCCGGGAGATAATTGCGTGAGCTCGCCGTCGATCCATTCACCCCTGATGGATGAGCGTCAGCGTGCGAGTGTGGGGAGGAGAGTGTCTGTGTGTGTGAGTGTGGGGAGGAGAGTGTCTGTGTGTGTGTGCGAGTGTGGGGAGGAGAATCTGTGTGTGTCAGTGTGGGGAGGAGAGTGTGTGTGTGGGTAGGAGAGTGTCTGTGTGTGTGTGAGTGTGGGGAGGAGAGTCTGTGTGTGTAAGTGTGGGGAGGAGAATCTGTGTGTGTGTGTGTGAGTGTGGGTAGGAGAGTGTCTGTGTGTGTGTGCGAGTGTGGGGAGGAGAGTCTGTGTGTGTAAGTGTGGGGAGGAGAATCTGTGTGTGTAAGTGTGGGGAGGAGAGTGTGTGTGTGTGAGTGTGGGGAGGAGAGTGTCTGTGTGTGTGTGAGTGTGGGGATGTAAATAGCCCAAGCCTGCCCGGCAACTGTCTTCTGCCACAGGGCTTTTTTCTCCCCCAGTGACCACCTAATTAGTCTACTCTGATGTACGTCACGACCCAGAACCCCTTGCCATTAATAATGCACGGTCCCGCTTTGCGAGGCGTGAGCTCCAGCTC